TCCAGCACAACGGCAACCACCAAAAGAAAATAATAAACCAAAGTGCCTTCCAACCAATGCAGCCCACAAGGCCACAACCACATCCTAAAGGGAGACTGACGAATGACCCAAAATCCACCACCACTATAAAACCAACATGCATAGATAAGAGCCAAAGCCAACCAAAACAGCACCACATCCCCAAAATTATTTCATACCATGTCTACCCCTCCCACGAGAGTAGATAGAAACAACAGGTCGGTCATGCTGCAGAGCAAAGTCATCCTCAGGTTCTTCATTCACACTAGCCTCCGTAGAGGAATCAGACGAATATTGAAGCCAATCAATTTGCAATCTCACACTCTCCCCCGAATTGACACCCACACGAGAAAATAAAGCCTCAGGCGATATTAATTTAACAGGAACCTCAACAAAAGGTTTAGGTACTAGAACAATAGGCGTCACAGGGGAAGAAAGAATATGGACAACCAAACGAGCAGAGACCTCATCGGTAGGGTAAATAGAGGAATATGATTTCTCAACAAGCACACAAGTAACCTCAACCGAAACCAAGCCGCACAGGGCAGATACAAAATTAGCACACAACATAATAGGTTGCAGGTTTACATCACAATGACCACCCCCAGCCTCACTAACACTTAAATGCTGGCCATGGATGGCCGGAACTGAAGAATCCATAATCACAACATTAGGATTAGGCCTACCAGGTGAATCAAATTCAACAACAGGGGACACAAGGGGGAGCTCAGGGCTAGACACAACCTATCCACAGACCTACAAAGCAAAGGGCGAAGAGACATCAACAGGAACCACATGATTAGCGACCAACCCATCCGGACTAACACTTCGAGAAATAGGATTAATAAAATCATTCAAAACACCCTTGCCCGCATTATCCACAATAAAAGCTTCATGACTAACATAAATAGCTGGTTTCAAAGAGGAAACAAGCTTGGAAGCAGTGGAAGATGAATGACAATCACCCCATTTATGCCCAATGGATTCACAAAGATCACAAAATGGGGGAAAAACTTCCATTTGCACCTGCTAAACACAGCCCAAATTCTCGGAATCCAGCCAAACCTTCTCAGGATAGCTTTTCGTAATATCCAATTCAACCAAAACATGCGTCAGAGAAGGCTGCGAGCCAAGAGAGGAGGTGGTGTCAATTTTAAAAGGGCGACCAAATAAAGATCCCAAAAGCGTGGAGGATTTTAGGAGCGAAAAGATGGAAGCGAAGAAACAGGAAAGAAATCCAGATGGGGATAACTAGAGACTCCGCTCCAATGTCAAGGCCAGGTGACCACGTAGTAATTTTCATATAGCAATTGTAAACTAGGAAAGAACGATGACAAAAAACTCTATTGTAATCCATATAATTCGCAAGTTTAATTAGGACATGAATCGAATCAAGTAAGGTTACCGAAATCTCCACCGAAAGCTTAAGGTTGCAGAAAAACCATCGGATAACATCTAAACTAGGCCGACGGGAAGGAAAAAAACGACCAAAGCAAACTAGAAAGGAGCGGCTAAAAAGGAAATCTCTTCCTCTGAAATCTAAACAGCAGGCAATCCATGGAAAGAACATGTTTTGAGAGGCGGAAAAAGAACATTCGATGAATGCCCAAACAAAGCCATCCAAAAACGAATGCTTCTTAGATCCATCCAAAAAATATGGATCTAAGAGCCGACGGGAGGCCGTCATGGCTAGCGGGAACGGGAAAGGAGACTAAGGAACAACAAAATAAAGGGAAAAAGAAAAGAAGACTTCCCTGAACCCTGAGCGACACCACCAGCCGGAAGACGAAAAGCATCCAGTCGGAAACACCCAGCGAAGCGGGGTGAAGCCCACGTGCCGGAGGAACCCTAGCCCGAGGAAACCTAAAAAGAGTGTGAGGAGTATTCTTAAATTTATAAAATAATATAAATAAAGTCTTCTATATCAATATTTGTAAATTTATAGTCATTAAAATTTCTAAAAAAATTAAAATATAAGTAAAATTATCAAAAATAATTTTTATTATAAATAATTAAAAACAGAACAAAATAAAGAAAACTAGAAAAGGAGACGGACGGAAATGGAATTAGGAATTTAGTAGGAGCAAGGATTTAAAAAAAAATGTTAAAAGAGAGCAATTGCATTCAAAATAGTTCTAAGCATTAATAGCTAGTTTGTTTCAATTTTTTTCTTTTGTTATACATATTAAATGAAATGCTACAAAAACTTGTCTGTTTTTTACTTGTAAACATATTTAAACGTATTTCTATATTTGTAAGTTGTTAAGAATAAAAAACAAATCTTTACCCAGTTTCAACCCTTCATGCACTCTTTCTCGCCCAATATATATTTATGGTTAAAGAGGCCGTGAGTGAATCTTCAGATGCATGAAGGATTGATATAGGGATACACAATTTTTTTCTTAAAAACGTACAAATATAGAAATATGCTTGCATGTAAAAAACAGACAAATTTAGTAGCATTATTATTCATTCAATATTTGTAGAAAAATAAAATATATTTATACAAACTAGTTATTAATGCTTATTGTTTCCCGCATAAGAAGTCATACCACCATTGTGATTCTCTACTAGTTATTAATGCTTATTGTTTGAGTGCAGGAAAAATAAGCAATCACACCAATCAATTTCAAATAGCATGCAATGAAAACCACGGAAAGCTCCGGCACACAGCAGAAAAGGAAACACCGGCCTAACCTAAGTCTAGAAGTGGTGCCCTAGCAAACAATTCTACGTGTGTGTATGACTGGTAAGGCTTGGATATGTCCTAATCTAGGTAGTTAGTTAAAGTTACCTAAAGTTCAGGTTTATTTTAGGCTATAAAAGAAAAATTTTAATTAAAGTTTAGATATTGATGAATTAGGATCCATTTTAGTTAATTTAGTTTGTTGATCAGTTTTAAATGCTGGGGGTTTGAGTCCAAAAAGAGATTGAAATGAATTGAAATTTAATTAGACACATTAGGGCCAATGGGTCAACCCGGTTGACCCAAGACATGGGTCTGAGCTCACTGATCATGGTCTGACCCATGGAACCCAAGGGTTTGACAGATTCGAGGTCAACAGTAATCCCTAGCAGACCACCCTTTAAATTTTACCTTGGTGTGACTTTGTTAGCAGTATCAGCAAAGCCAATAGAAGAAGAGGAAGAGGATGATGATTAGAGAGAAATCCCTAATAGATTATTTTTTTTGAATTTGTATTTATTTATCTTAATTTTATTTCTTGCCTTTTTTATTGATATAGTGTGAAGGCAAAGCATGAAAATCAAAATTTTCATTTTTTGTAAATTTTATCACTTGTCTTTAATTATTTATATTGCATTTTTAAGCTATACACAACTTATTATTGAGTGGAATATGATACCTAGAAAAAAATAAGATAATTACATAATTAATAATAAATAATTTGGAAAAATTGCCAAATAAAGCATTTAAAAATAACAACTTATTGTTTTATCTAAATTAATAATTCTTAATAATTAAAATTCCTAAAGATCACTTAAACTCTTGACTACTTATAAAGGATTAATTGATTTAAGGATTAATGTGAATAAACCTTTTAGATTAATTCTAAGTCATCTATTAAATAAATAATTAGGACATTATGAAACATTTATTGAACCTTAGATTTAATAAATATAGTGGAGGCAAAAGACATGTGTGGAGCAACCGGATTTGCTAGATAGGGATGGTACTTTGCCTTGTAAGAAAGCTAGAAATGGATTAGATGAGTCATTGAATGATTTTCATGAGTTTTATGGCTTAAATGTGGGTAGTATCATTCATAAAGGCTTTTCTCATAGTGGAAGCAAGTTTCATGATCGGAAATCTAAGAAGAAGTAATCCTTCTTCTGTTTGGTGTTTGGGATCTCTGGTTTGATGGGTACTAGCCATGACAATCTCTGTTGGCTAGTTGCTTCTTTGTTGAGGGTCTTCTATTTGTTAGCTTATTGGTTGTTTCTACTGGTAATCTATGTTGGTTGGTGGTTGTAGTTGATGCTATGGCTCCATTTTGTTTTTTTTATTTGTTTCTCTTATGGTTGTGCAGGTGTAGACTGTAGACTGCATGACAGTTGGTGGCTTTTTTGGAATTCTGCTGATTGAGTTTTTTTGGCTTGTTTTATATTTATTTTTTGTTTGATTTTGCATTTAGGTTATTCTGAGGCTCTTAGGTTTTGATTCAAATGTTGTATTTTAGAATGCATTGGAATCATTAAGGACTTGTAATTTTGATTTATATTAATATGTAGGCCTCTTCCATGAGTTCTTATATAAAAAAAACAAAAAAAGTGGAGGCAAAAGATAAGTATTCAAAATCATTATAAAGTATTTGGTAAATGAAAAAGTTAAAGTGAAATTAAAAATTAAAAATGCTAAGTGTTGAGCTATTAAAAATTGATACATATAATGTCAAGCTTCACGTAAACAAAGATTGAAGCAATAGACACATATTCTAAATTATTATAAGGAACTTAGCAAATTTAAAAGAAAGTGAGAAAAAAAAAAGAAGAAGAAAGTGAAAGAGCTAAATGCTTAGTTATTAGAATCATAGTACATAAATAAGATTTAGTGTGATCTACATCCTTGAAGGAAGCATAGTGGAAACAATTAGAGGGTTTAAAATGAGATTTTGTCACATATAGACATATCACTAATAAAAAGGTAATGTTTTCGCAGTAATTTATAGCAGCAGTTTTAAAACCGCCACTGTAATAGTTATAGACAGCGGTTTTAACCTCCATAAAATTCACCATCATTTTTCATAATATTTTGTAGCAGCGGTTTTGAAACCGCTAGCTGAGACACATCGCTCATAAATCGATCTCCTTCTTTCATGCCCTAGCCGACTCATTCTCTACCGCATTCTCCTCGTTTCATGCCCTAGCTGACTCATTCTCTACCGCGACTTTCTCTTCGTCGATGATCATCCACGCCGAACCCTACCTTCCTATGACGAATCCATCCCGTCCCGAAGCCTAATATGCATGATCATCGACTTCGTCTTAGTTTAGCGATCCCAAAAAAGCGTACTATGTATGATCAGTATGGGGAGGAAGGGCTAAAAGGCGGTGTTTCTCCGCCGGCGGCGCTACTTTCTTCACTAGAGGCGATGGTCCTGCCGTGTTTAGGTTTAATTCGAGAATGCTAATGATATCTTCTCTGAGTTCTTTGGATTCTCGAGCCCTTTTGGGGCCATGGGTGGGGGAATGGAATGAGAGGGGGCATGGGATTTTCGAACTTCATGTTTGGAGATGATCTTTTTGGATCGGGGTTCGACGGTAGGAGAGAGAGTCTTATGGAATAGCTGCTGCCGCTGATTGAGAACAAGTTGCCTTGCACCCTGGAGTTGTATAAGGGGACCACGAAAAAGATGAAGATTTCCAGGGAAATCGCTGATATCAGTGGGTGAGTTTTTCTTTTCCCTCTTGATTCAATTCCCGATTCTAAAAAAAGTTAATTTTTTTTTTCATTCAATGTGATAACAAATTAGATTTAATAATGGATTTTTATTTATTTATTCTGAAACTTGCCACTTGAAGGTCATGCCAGAAAGATTAGTTGCTAAGTGTCTAACATATTAGACTTAAAAAGTTTCATCAAGCAATAAATATTTAACAATGAAAAGTTGCTTTGCCAATCTTTCTATCTTTCTTTTATTACGATCACAGTTAAATGCTATTGTTTTATCCAGTTAGTTATTATTTATTTTATAGCGTTTATTTTACAGTAGTTTATGCTACTGTTTTCACACAGAATATCTCTTTAGCTGAAGCTCTTACAGGCTACACAGTTCATCTCAAAACTTCAACTAAAGGTAATTTTTTCCTTGATTCACTTCTGGTTTTGTTCTCTTTCGTCCTATTTAAAATCTAATTTTGGTTGTTATTTGTGAATTTCAAAACTGGGAGCTTTAATATGATTGCAAACTTTGTTTTTTTTTTCTATATTTTTATTTAGTTTGCATCTCACAGTTAGCAATAAAGTGTTATCGCCAAAGAATTTTCAGTGGGTTTGACAACTTCAGTGCAAATGTTTGTGTTGATGGAAGCATTGTTAACTAAGGGCTTTGGAACACTTCAAGTATTTTGACTGATTGTGTCTAAATTCAACATTTGAATGCTTCGACAATTCTTATGCTTTTTATGTTTTTTCATTATTGTTCTTAGGCCAAGCAGATTATAGCAGATTGAGGCCACTTAGTTATAGAGTAGCAGATATTTTTGTTCTGGCCTTTGGTCAGTAGGGCAAGCTATGAGAATGTTCTTAAGAAGGTATTTCACTTTATAGAATTCCTTTTATCATTGCATTTTGGTTTATAAATTTTATCTTAGTATTGCGAATAGCTGTAAATTGTTTATTCTCGACTACTGTTTTAACTGCCTAAAGCTAAGGATTTTGTTTTCTCAATGGTACTATATTGATCTCTATTATTTATCACAAATCTCAGAATATTAATATTAGCATTGATATATGGTACGAAAATGTTCTCAGCAAGCGATGAGTATTTGTGCTCACCTAATAATTTCTCCTCATCAATACGCATTTTCTAGTTCGAAAACTACATGCATAACACCTTCTGAGCATCCTAAGAATATGATTATCCATATTTGATGAGCTTTCTTTGTAAAATTGCTAGCATTTAGACAATTTAAACCTTCAAGCATTACTTCTTGATGCCTAATCTTGACGAATTTTGCCTTGTTACTCTGTTGCAGTTTTAAGAAACAGAGTTATGGTCGAAAGAGCAAGAGAATGACTGAGATTCTTGACAATTATTATGCACAGCAAAGGATCCAATGCCATCTTATATAAATAGTCTAGGATGAGTTTAATGGCCAATTAATGCTGGCTGATTTTACTTTTTACTCTTTGGAGCAACTTTGTGTAAATAGGCAAAGTGATGCATGCTTCATGTAGCTTAAATTGTACATATTCATATTGAATTCAATTAGGTACAGTTGTATAGTAATTATTGTAGAAATAGAAGCCATTTTGATATCATTTCAACTGCTTCAATCTCAAACTGAACCTTTTTTTAACGAGTTGAATTGACAAAACTGAAATTATAAATGTTAAACTGAAATTAAACCATTATGACAGAAATGGATCAAAACATTTTGGTTTGGTTTCATCTTAGTTTTCATTTCAAAATTGATTGTAATCAACACAAAGTTGTATACTTTAATTTGTCAAAGTTCCTATAACATTATTGTTTTGATATGTTGTTTAAATGTATATTTAATTGGATATGTATATTTAATTGGACATTCATATTTTGTGTTTTTTTATAAAAAAAAATTCTGGATATTTGTTGTGGCGGTTATAACCGCCACAAATGTCCAGATTTGCGGCAGTTAAAACCGCCACAATACTTAAAATCTGTTTATTTGAAAAGCATTAGTGGCGGTTATAAATGCTGCAAATTTGGAAAATTGTGGCGGTTATAACCGCTGCTAAATCTAGCACTTCATCAGATCTATCTCGCCGGTCCTTAAACCGCTGCAGAATATCATTGCAGCGCATTGCTATTACAGCGGAGGTGCAGCGGTTTCGAAACCGCTGCAACGAAAATTGTGGCGGTTATAACCGCCGAAATAGGCCAAATATTGTGCTGCGATAGGCCTATTTTTTGGCAGTGATATGGTGCATAGAGTCTTGGAATCTTAAGGAGATCCAATCACTTTAGTTGAGATAAATCTTGGCTAGAAATTCCAACGTGCTCAACAGAGATGAGAAGTCTGTGCTATGATTCACAACATCTATATAAGAGATCTTTTTTTTGCATTAATGATTTATAATTATCATATGTTCAAGAGTAACTTAGACATAATATTTTTTTATTAAGTTTTAGCTGAAGACTTTAAATTGCACACCCTTATAACGCTACTTATAAGATAAATATAAATTCATTTAGACTATACTAGAGGAATTTTTGGGTAATTTATATCATGATAATGATAATGTACTACTTGATTACACATATATTTGCATAAATCTCGAGTTACAAACAAAATAACCTCAACTTTTGTGTGTCAACCTATTTGTAAACTCATCTTAGAAATTGTAAGATTTCTGAATGATGGAGAAAAGGCTCGATTGGATCTTCCAAAATAAAATACAACTATATAACTGGAGATAAAATTTTTAATGAAAGATTATCAAAGAATTACAAGTGGTGGTAGAAATAACTCTTTAGAATCTAATGTTATACGAAATCTCCTTGAATCATCTTGTGTAAGAATTGATGGGTATATTTTAGCTTTAGAATTTTGTATAAAGAATGGTCACTCATTGAGGATATCAAATTACTCATAGCATTGTCAATGGAAGGTAATTTATTACCTTTAATTTAGGTGCACTAGAACATGATAGAGGCATACACACCACCTATCCATAATAATATTTTACTAAAGCGTACTAAAGGAGAATTAAGTAATGTCTATAAAAGTAATATACAACTTTTCTTATGAGAAAAATTGTGAGAAAAAACCCTAGAATAAGATGGATATATATATAGTCTATAAAAGATAATATATACTTATTAAGTGAAAGTGCTCTAATATCACTTGATAGTTCGAGGAGGTTGTTAGATCTCAATGAACTAGCCCTAAGTCACACTAATATGGAAGTAATATTATCATTTGATATGGAAGCTAGTATGCTTATCAAAAGTTACAAAGATGATGATAATAAACTAATCAATACATCATAATATCAATCATATATTTTTAACTCAGCAGTTATAATAGAAAATAAAATGCGAAAAAATAATTTGCAAAAAATCAAATCAGAAAGAACACACTAGATTTTATAGTGGTTCGGCCAAATCATGACCTATGACTGCTCCCCAGAGTCACCCACTTCTGGTATTGCACTATCACTATAGTGTCTCTCCTTTAGCCTCCACAGCTAGGGGGTAGAGGACCGTACTCTTTTTTCAAGCAAAGAACTTTGACTCCTTTTCACCATCCTGGTGAGGTAGAGAACCTGGACTCCTTTTCACCCTCATGGTGAGGTAGAGAACCTTGAATAACTTTCACCTTCCACAGTGCAGTCGAGTAGTCGGGTCCTCGGACACCAAAGAGATCTTTTTCCCAAAACTTCACTCACGACAAATCTTGAATCCGATATTACTAAGATGCAAGCTTGCCATTGCGATCGTGTGAAACCCCTTCCACACTCTCTTGAACCCCATAAGGATCTTCTCCCTCTCAAACTCCATCATTTCCTCTCTCCCTTTCAAGGCACTCTCTTTAAGTTTTCTCTAGATGAATGAAGACTCAATGAATGCCAAAGATACTAATAATGTCTTTGGAGAAAGCTTAAATTGAGGGCTTCAACAATGTGTGGTCCTGAAATGTTAGTACATAAGGCAATCGTATAGAAAAGGAAATGTTTGCTATCATCAAAATCATGAACCATAGATCCGCAACAATCTCCCCCTTTTTGATGATGGCAAACAATTTGAATTTTCAAAAAGACTATTTTCTCCTAATCTCCCCCTCACTTGAATAATACAAAAAAATAGGGAGATCAATATATTTTTGTTATTTTACAATTTTTGAAAAGAAAACAAATGATAGAAGTACGTTCTCTCCCCCTTTGACATTATCCAAAAGAGAGAAGGCACAGTAATTTAGTGAATCCTTGTGTGGATTTGAATGGAGTGGCCCCAGTTGCTTTGGTGGGTGCACAGCTACCGGAAATGGAGTTGTGATTGTTGTGGACATTGATGTTCCTATTGATTCCGATGCCGATGAATCCTCGATGAAGGTTTGTAAGGGTGTTGTGGCTGGGGTCTCACCTTATATTTCGATCCCTCGAGCTTGTACTAGTGTTGGGGGTCATTTTGGTTTTGCATTAAATTTTGGTCTCGTATTATTAGAGGTGGGTGTTGTGTCTGCACTATGTCTCTTTTCTGGTAAATCCTCATGTGGTTGGGGATTGCGCGGATGAGTCTGTTCCTGCCCCTATTTTTTTGGGTGGGTTTTGCCCGGCTACACCTTAGGGTGTGGTAAGTGAGGGTTCTGCTACTCTAGCTATTTATATCTCCTTTATTTTGATCTCTAAGTGTATTTCTCCCTCTGTTTCATCTCTTGTTAGGCATGCTGGTATTGTTCCTAACTCCTTTGTTGATGTGCCAGTTAATGTTATTGACACTCAAGCTTTGGTGTATCATGTGGGAGATAATTCTGGGGTGGATGTGAGGGTTCATTTCGATTGGCTTCACTGTTCATCCGAATACGATTCCGATTCTGATTCCTCTTTAGAATCTTTTCGGGGTGATGATCCTGGGAATGATTCTACCTTGCAGCGTGACAAACCGGTTGTTTATGTCACTTCTCGTGGGAGGGCTTGTGGGAGGGGCAGGTGGGGTAGGTAACTTTCCCCCCTTGTTGGTTGCCTTCTTGTTTCACTTGTTTGTCGCCTTCTCCGTTCGTCTTATGGGGTTGATCTTTTGGGCTGGGGCTGCAGGCCCTTTGGTTATTTTTCTGCTAGTTTTTTTAATGGAAGTTACACTGGGCTGGCTCATTGGTATCTGATTAATATTACTATTGGCTGTTGGTTTTTGCTGGGCAATGATGTGGTTGGGGCTCGTTTCTTAGTCAGCTTGGTTCGTGACAACCTTTGGTGGTGGTTTCTTGCTCGGATGGTTTGGCTACTTTATGTTTCTTTTCACCAAATTGGATGGTCTGAGCTTGGCTTTGGGGAAGCTGGAAGCCTCGTCCATTTACTGAGCCCTTAGGATTGATTCTCCATTCTACTTTCTTTTGCTTTCCTGTCTTTTTGCTCCTTTGCTTTGTGTAATATTTTTGGATTTTAATAAATATTTTTAGTTTAAAATAAATATTCTGCCAAATCTTGAGCCATGAATCTTCAAAAAATAGTGCATGATTTACCTGAAATATTAGTTAACACACAAATAGGTAAACTCTATACATACTATGAAAAATAAAGATAATCAATAATATTTGTTATCATAATCATAAACTCGGAAGCCTGAGTTGCAACATTAAAGAGATAAATGATTCCTCTAGTAAGCATCCTTTGAGAAGCCCACACCAAACACCAACTAGCGTGCTTAGCCTTCTTGGTTTAGTTTTTGCTTGAACAAACCTACTCTAGAATTTTTTAGGGTCCCTAAGACTTTTTTTCATATATTTTAAACTCAATTTGGGACTTTAGAGTCAAGTAAAGCCTCCATGATATGTTTAAATAAGACTTGAGGAGTTCGAACCAAATTTATTTAATAATTTTTGATCCAATCGATGCATCAACTTAAAACAAAAAAAAAAAGATGAATTATAATTAAGAAAAATATTCCTTTCTTCATGACCCTGAGCGTCTATGTTGCATTCATACCTCATAACTTTTCTCAAATTATAATTTTGTTTCGTGAAGCTTTTAAAAGATTTAGCATATATTCGTATAGGACAAGCTTGGGCCTAAGAAATAGAAAGGCAAATAATACATATTTTAGAAAATCCACTTAGCTTGAGTCATGAGGTAAATTTAAAAGTTTTAGCATTAATTTAAAATCATCCAAACTCTAATTTCCACAAACTTTAAGTCAAACTAAATATCTCGATGAGGTGAATCCATGGACATTATAAATGATTTGATCTATGTCCAAATAAACATAGATCAAGAACTTTAGCATTTATGAAAACTTTTGAATTCTAATTGAAGGACAAATGATATCTTAATGTTACGTACGTGTACTCGAATCGAGCAACTAGACTAAATGAATCCAATGAGTCCAAGACATTTTAATACTAATTTCAATAAAATACATAGATGATAGATAAATAATCTATGATCGGTGGACCAATATCGATCATTCGATAGATTATTCGAAATTCTGATCAAATTTATCAAAACTTCTCTCACAAAAAAAGTTATATATAGAGACTCATTTTTCATTGGAGGAGTATGATGATCTCAACCTTCCTACTGAAGCTCAAGGGCTTGCTAGATTAGATCGATTGAATTATCCTTATATTCGTATGCACTAGCCTTGGTTTACTTTATTGCTCTTTTATTTCCATGTTATGCTTTTCTCCTGTTATGTTTTATTCTTGTCATGTTTGCTGTGATTGGTTTTTTGGTAAGATTTTATAATGTATAGTCTCTGTTGGATTCCAGTTCTGGAGTATTTTTTGTGTTATGGGATCTCTCGTGTATTGGGATCCAGAGCAATGTGGGTATCATTCATGAGGCTGTGAAGTGGAGTATTATTCCATGCTACTCTGGTGTCAATTATTTTTGGGTTCTTACTAAATTTCTCTATTTTGTTGTGGTTGTGTATTTGCATAACTGGACTTTTCTGGCTCTTTTTTACTATTCCTTCTCCGATTTTTCTTGTACTGCTGTTTATCTGGTTGGTGCTGTGAGCCTTAATATGAAGAACTGGTCTTGTATGAGTTGGATGAGCAGTTGTTTTCAGAGTTCCCCTTTAATTTTACTGAGTTTGAATTCTGGGGTTGATTCTTCTAAATTTTCGGTTCTGGCATTTCTGAGATTCCCTTACTCAGAGGTGATTCTGTGGGTCTTTTTTCCTGCATTACTAGGGGTGATATGGACTTGGTTTGTAATGCTAATCAACCTCTCATGTTATATGTCTTGAATATGATGTTTTATATTCTGGATCATTTACATCGGGTTTGGATTTGTCTTTTGATTAATGCTACGGGTCTATTTTATTTGTTGGGGAATTTTCCCTGCATCAGTACTAGGGTTATTTTACTATGGGCTTGGAATGCTATTAACACTAATCATTCTATCATGATCATTGCTTTGCATGGTGTTACATTTTTGGGTTCTTCTGCATCGCATATGCACTTGTCTTTCCTTTTTACATGTGGGTTATTCTCGGTTGCCGCCTCAACGCTGGTGTGATGAATTTTTACTTAATCTCTTTGAGGTTTTTGACTTTGGCATCAGGGAAGTTTTTCTGCTTCTTTATCATTTCTTTTCTTATATCATTCCTTTTCTTATATCATCTATAAGTCTTTGCTTCTTTTATCCAAGTATAATGGTTATAACATAGATTCTTTTTGGAGGTTTGTTTTGGTGCAGATCTTTCGTCTTGGTATGAGTGGCTACATTTATTGCAGAGGGAGCTGCACCATCTTTTTTTGGAGCTTTAGGAAGGTGAATTTCAAGTTTTGCAGGAAGACCGCTATGATTCGTGGTATCTTCTTCTTCCTTTTTTGGGTTGTGTTCTCTTGCAGACCTAGAATGTTCTTAGTTTTTCTTTGTAACCTCTAGTACAAGGAACCACCGGCTCACATATTTTATTTTGATTTTTGATGTAGCTCTTATAAGCATTAGAGAGCTGGAGGTTCCTTTTAAGGACCTTGTAACCCTTTTTTGGAAATTAACACGTAGGCCCTTCTGTGGGTTTTAATTAAAAAAATAAATAACATTCATTGGAGGAGAAATCATTTGACTTTTGTTAGTCAACTATTATTACTTGATTATTAACATATAATAATATTGTTGGATTTTAACAATCTACTTGGTTACATTCAATTGAATTGTACCCAATTGTGTATAATTTCTTTTTTTTTTCAATTGTAAGGAATAGATGATTATTATGTCTTTCATTATTTAGTAGATTATTACTACTACTTAAAAAATGCGGTTTTTTTCCTTCTTTGGATTTTCATATAAAATATTCTAATATCTTATAAAATTTATCAACATATTCTGGATAATGGCGGAGCTAAAATTTTTTTCTAATGAGTCTACAAATTAGGTTTTCCAATTTTTCTCTCAACTATTCATATGAGCTTAAGACCAACATTAGTAGTTTAAAATTTTTATTTTAAAATTTTAATTAAATGAAAAAATATATGATAATAAATGTAAATAATTTATAATGGCTATTTTTTTCTATTCTAAAAAGTTAAATGATTTCTTAATTATCAATACAATTCAATAATTCATTATTAATATAAATGATTAATATAATATTCATCCACTAATGTCCCATTCTTTCTTTAAAGTAATCATAGAAAAAAAAAGCTATTATACTTACAATGCATTTTTCTTAAAAGATAGATTCTAAAATTTATAATTTATCATGATAAAATTTTCAATATAATATTATACAAAAACTTTAGGCACATTTTTAATACATAATCCTAATCTTCAAATAAATAGAAAAACTTTTAGGCACAATATATATCCGAAATATAGAAGGCAATAGAAGCAAACCCTAACACATAATACCATTTTCATTTCATTTCCATTTATTCATTTAATGAAAGAAAAACCTTATAATGAAGCAAACACACAAGAAATTAATGAGAATTAAATTTTGTTTCTAATACCATAAATATCTCTGCTCAACTATGTAAGCCATACTCGCTTACGTCCTCAAGCCACCTAATGCCTTTCATTCAGTTATATATAGCCTGCTCTCGCTCTTTATCTCTTTCATTCAAACAAGAAAAACATTACAGTCGTAAAAGAAGAAGAAGAACAAGAAGAAGAAGAAGAAGAAGAAGAAGAAGAAGAAGAGGAGGAGGAGGAGGAGATAAAGATGGCCCAAGCGAAGGAGTATATGCCTGCTATTGCTATGGTGGCCGTGCAGGCGGGCTTTGCCGGTCTCAACATCCTTCCGAAGGTCGCTCTCGACTCCGGCATGAGCCCATACGTAATGATCGCCTACCGTCAGATCATCGCCACTGTCGCCCTCGCTCCCTTCGCTTTTTTCCTCGAATGGTACCTCATATTAAATTATCAAGTAAAACCATGCATATAAAAATTATTTTTAAATTTTGTTTATATATATAAATATTATTTTAATTACTCGATAAATTAATTTAACTTCTCCAATTATTCTTCACATTTTTCGTTCTTCATCACTCCTTCATTCCTTCCAACTGCCATTAATTTCTTGCTTATTTTTCGCAGGACTTTTTATTTTGAATTTGGACTACTTTCTCTCGCTTGTATATATAATCTTTTATAATTTTTTTTCACGCACAAAAGAAATATTATTTATTAAGATTTCTAATATTTAGACTTATTAAAGAAAATGTTTTGGGCTATGTGATCTAATATTTCTTCGGGTAATCAGACCTCTCGTAAGCCTTTTTGTTTCTTCCTTTGAATTGCAAGCTCATTAATGGCAAACGGCGTACAACTTTTTTTTTTCCTTCTTTACTTCTGATGTTATGTTCGTGAAAAGTCAGTTTAGAATGTACAATAATTGATGTCATATAAATAAATAATTTTTCCTCAGAATATTTAATTTATATTTTTCTGTTTTACCAAATTTTTGATAATTTAAAATTAGATAAAATTTAAATATTATTATGTATATATTTTTAATTTAGCTCTCTTTAATTTATTAATTAGAGATCATAAATCTAATTTATATTTAGTATAATTTTATTCGCTTGAATTTTTATTTTTATTTTTCTTTAATCAAGAAAGCATGCTTCTCGTTGATTGGGGTAGACCTACGACGAATTGTTGCGTCTGGTTCAAGAATCCGACACCTGCTCCTTTCATCTCATGCCACGTGTCTTTGACCGTCTTGCTGGCAACTTAAAAGCACTTGGAAAACTAACACATTAGCTGTAACAATTATTAATTTGAAGTCTATTCTTTCCATAAAACTATCTTTGAATTAATTACTCATAATTATCGTTAATTACCATAATCTGCTTGCAGGAAAACTCGAAGTGTTCTGATTACTCGCAAAATCCTACTTCAAATATTGGCCTGCTCCATTTTCGGGTACGTAAGTGACTTCCAATTCGCCGGAAACGCACTTCCGGCACTGAAAAGCCCCTACGTTTCGTTCTGATTAGTAATTTTTGCTCTTTTTGAAATAAAAATTGTTAGAAAGCTTTTTCTAAAGCAGTAATTTAAACTGCTTATATTTACCACTGTAATATTATAACCATTTTTATAAAAGTTATTTCCAAATAACCTTCCTAAACCTTTACCTCTGAGTAAAAATTGAGTAAGAATGAGTTTCAATAAGCAACTTTGGTGATAAAAAATACTATAATTAAGTTTATTTTCCGCTTCTCACAAATAAAAATAATATGATTGATGATATAAAATTGTATGCAGGGCGACAATTAATCAGTTATTGTACTTTATCGGTCTCAAGTACACGACCCCAACGATCGCAAGCGCCCTGAGCAACATCCTACCAGCCATAACATTTATTATCGCCGTTCCTTTCAGGTACGCACCCTCGAATATTTAATTACTTTACAATAAATAAATATCTTCAGAAATATAAATAAATAATAAGTTAGTTTTAGCATTTATTTAATTATGTAAATAAATAAATCTAGTACAAATGAGTATATATTTGAGTTTATTTTTTTTATAATGTATACTTATTTGCTTAAAAATTTCCATAAATCCATATAGGATTGAGACAGTAAATATGAAAAGTATCCCAGGACAAGCAAAGGTAGCTGGAACAGTCTTTTGTGTTAGCGGATCAATGCTCATGACCTTCTACAAAGGAGCTCTCATTCATATCCCACATTCTGGCTTACATTGGCGATATGCTGAGAAGGTTGTGGAGAAAAGCACTGAAGCCTCCGCATTAGCTGGCGGATCGTCCAACAAGGAAATATTTGGCGCAATGCTAGTGGTGGGAAGCTGTGTAGCGTGGGCAATTTGGTTCATTTTGCAAGCAAATATGAGCATGTCCTTTTCCGCGCCTTATATGACCTCCACAATAATGTGTGCTATGGCTAGTGTCGAATGCTTTCTTATTGGAGGCATTATTGAGAGAGACATTCATAGTTGGGCTTTGGGCTTCAACATTCGCTTAGCTTCAGTTTTATATATTGTAAGTACTTTTTTATGCACATAAAATTTTAAATATTTTAATTTTGACTGAAATTTTTATTTAAAATTTTTGCTGATTTCATTTTTTTTAATATTGATTATCTGTGATATAAAATGAAAATAAAATTAGTTTTTATTTCTATTTTTTACATTGATTTTTTTCTTCTAAAAACATTCAAGCGATTATTCTTTTGGTTAATAAAATATATTTTAGATGAATATCAATTAAAGAGTGAAATGATATAATAGTAATTACATAAGAAATATGTGATGTAAATGTGAAAATCTATGATGAAATATTAATATTTGATTATTTTGAGAGCAGGGATTGATTTGCTCTGGATTTGCTGTGTTGTTGATGACATGGGTCATAGAGAAGCGCGGCCCGTTATTTGTTTCCATGTTCAGTCCGCTCCAGCTTATTATTGTGGCCATATTAGGCTGGGCTATTTTGGATGAGAAACTTTACGTAGGCAGGTAATTATTATAAATAAGTAAGAATTAGTACAGCAGCAAAATATGTTTTTATTTTTGTTCTACGAGGGCTGATATATTGCATGTAGAACCTTATAAAACAGTTATTTTATTTTTAAACCTTTTGATTTTTTTTTTTAATGATTTCAGTGCTTTAGGTTCAGTAATTATAATTATTGGGCTCTATTTGGTTATTTGGGGAAAAGCTAGAGAATTCAAGATGGAAGTTTCAGATGAAGGAGCAGCCATGGAATCAGAGCTAAATAGAGGAGAAGGCAATCAAGACATTGAAGAGGAGCTCCCTATCTATCCTTTTACTGCCAATGCCAATTGTGCAAAGAAGGATTTTCAAATTCAAGAAGTTTGAGGGGCTATCTGCAAATTAAAACTAAATAATGAATACTCGGCTGTTGTGATCTTGTGGATCTGCTATGAATTTACTTCTACATGTATGGAACAAGATATAGTTGATTTCGTGGGTTCCATTTAGTTATGTTTTCTTCCTAGAATTATAAGAAATAAAATTTAAATATTATATGTTGCTTCGGCTGATTATTAATCAGAAGGTTTTAGACTCAAAATTTGTGTATGTAATGTATATATGAATTTATCCTAATTGCTTAAAAAAAAAAAGATATTATTTATCATTGAGAATTATGTACTTATAGTATTATATATGGATTGGAATGTATTAAAATATTTTGGATAATACTTTATAAATTCGATTAAGTGATGTTTTTATTATCTGGATTTTAGTGTGTACTTAATTTTAGGATTATCAATTTTGCTCATACGTAATTTTCATAGAAGTTTCTCATATACAGTTTAGAATGCTTAATCTCAAATGTTCACTTGTACTTCATCTTCACTTTTCAATAGAATTCATGCAAAGATCTAGAACTTATTAATTCTTAACACCGAACATTGCTTAAACTAAATTCATTAGAAGAATTTTAACATATGCAATGTAATGATTATAATACACATGTCTCAATACCTATTTATAACTTTAATTAATTAATCTAATGAAATACTTATAAAATGCATGAATTGCCAGTACAAATGTCACATCAGTACATCACTTGTCAAACATAGTACTCATTGAACTTTTGCCATTTTAAATTTTAACTTCATTGCAACATTCTCATGAATATTTAAGATTTTCATATAACTATTGCATTTGCTAGGAAAGCCAAAATTTAATAAACTTACTGGAATTGAAATAATTTGCAAAAGTTTAGGAGTTTACCTGGTGCTACAAAGTCCCTAACTAGCCCAATAGACAAAACTCGAGCTTTGACTACCAAGATCTCTCCTTTTCCTTTCTCTCTCCGCTTCTCCTCCCTTCTTCTCTTCCCCTTTTCTTTGAAAAAGAGGCTAAGGGATGGGATTTTTAGTAAATGTATTTAGATATTTAGTTTTTTTTTTTAAACCAAAAGTTTGATCCAATGCCATAGCATTGAGCCAAATATTCTAGATTACCTTGGAATCTTTATAAACAAAGAGCATGCCATCGCGGTGGCACCACCTATCATCGCAATGCACATTCAAACTCAACTTCTCGCTGGAGGGCTCCTAAAAAAAATTTATAAATAAAAATTTACTTCCTCAAATCACTTCCTGACTTTCCCACATGTTCATTAACTACTTTAGGACTCCTAATTACAAATTAAATCAACATACACATAAATTTCTTAATGATGGTTATTACACTCTAGCCCTCTAACATCACCAAACAAAAATCCTATAATCAACCACTGTCACCCAACTATAATCATCTAATAATTACCTCTAAACTATGACTCTTTACTACCATTGCTCTACTATGCTTTGTCGAACACCATCACTAGACTTCTTTTCTATTACCAGTAACGCTTGATTGTTGTACAACAACTAATGTTGCCTAATAATGATCCCCTGATAACTATTACTAGATTATGGTTCTTCGATCATCATTATTTAGCTAAAGTTCTCCAATCACCACACTCGACTACAATCCTTTGACCATCATTATAAAAATGTGGTACTTCGGCCATTATTGCTAAGTCATGTTCATCAAAACATTATCTCCCAACTATAATCGCCCAATTATTTGTTAGTTTTGTGTATAATTTGATTGTGTCAATCAATCAAGTTGCATTATTTTCTGGAATCTTAATTCTATTTGTTGAGCTTGTCGGGGTTTGCAGTAGGTCTTCCCTTGCTTAGGTTTGGGGGCTTTACACAGAAATTTTTTTCATACAATCATATAGTGTTGTATACCACAACATTGTATTATTTTCTTGGAGGTAGATGGATAGCGGAGCACTAGAGAGCTCCATATATACCCCGATGCTACCAGGAAGGGTTGCCGTGCACCAGACCCAAGTGCAAGGGCGTAGTTAGGCAAACTGAAGATAGAGATTGGAGCATCATGACACTTCAAAATTTCTTCCACGGCGCTACGAGTAAGGCTAGCGGTTTTCTTTCTTGATTTTCTTATAGGGTTGCATCCATTCATGGTTTAAAGTGCGTTTCTCTTTACTTATCCAAGTAAGAGAATGGTGCAAGGGTGAACAGTGAGAAAGAAGAGATATGTCTACTAATGCTCCCAAAGTTTTATAGAGAATTTCTTGGTGTGGTGTGACTCCATTATTTTTTCAGAATTTCATGTTTTTCCACATTAGATTATGTAGTTTCTTTTCTTCTCGCTGCATTTTATCTTTCTTGTTTTGTGTTTGTTGCATGATTTACTTCCCCAACAATATTCTCAGCATAATACAATAACACTCATTGACTTTGTTGCTCACTGGTGCCAACACGTAGGGGTGTCAATTTCGGGTCACGGGTCGAACCCGAAACTGACCCGGGTTCAAGCGGGTCGACCCTAACCCGACCCGGTTAGATAAACGGGTAGGAAATGCCAACCAACTTTATTGTCACTAACATCGACGTACACCGCCTTATTTAAGGTTGATGTATGTCATCGACACCACAACTTTATCATCCAATGCAATCAATAAGTTTTATATCAGACTTCTTGATCTCTCATCCTTCCTCCTCATAAGACAATAATTGAATAGATGGTACATGATCTCTTAGAGAAAACTGCCTTTCTATAGAGCTCTCTTAATTTCCACCACAAAATCAGTTATATACAGTGTATATCTAATCATCATGCGTCTGCTAGGGTTTCGCCCCCTTCGGGCTTAGCCCGCCGCCTTCATCTTCCTCCGCCTCCTGCCGTCAGGGGGGTTTTTGCTATGGCGAAAAAGCTATTGGATCCTGGATTTCTAGCTGGTAAGCAACCTAAATCGTTTAGGGATGCTTTATCTGGTGATTCCATCGTCCCTTTTCCGGATTTCCGCATATCTTCGAACCGAGGTATGCCATCTTTATGGTTCTCGGAAGAGGAATTTCTTCATCTTGCTAAACCTTTTGAATTTGCTTTGGTTGGGAGATTTCCTCTCAAACGCCCCACTTTAGACTCTATCCGTAAATTTTTTTTCGGTTTGAAATTATCGGGAGAATTTTCGGTCACTCTTTTAGATCAAACGAATGTTTTGATAAAGCTTCATAATGATTTGGATTATGCAAGGGTTTTTGCTCATAGATCTTACTTGGTTTTTGGGTGTTTCATGAAAGTTATTAAATGGTCCCCTGTTCTTGATCTCTCTGAGGAATCACCGGTTGTGCCTGTTTGGTTGTCTTTCCCTGGTTTACGCCCTCACCTTTTCTCTTCTCGCATTTTGTTCGGTTTGGGTTCCATTTTTGGTAGACCGATACAAACTGATAATGCAACTGCAACTGGATCTAGACCTTCTGTAGCTCGTATTTTAGTCGAATTAGATGTTACCAAAACCTATCCCGATTCTGTTTGGTTAGGGCCGGAAAAATTGGGGTATGTCCAGAAGGTTGTCTGTGAATGCATGCCTGTTTTTTGCTCTTCATGTAAAACTTTAGGTCACAAAAAAATG